AGAACTTCAACAGTTTCCCATAGGCTAACACAACCCAAGTGGAAGGTCTTGGCTGTAGTGGTGCATATTTTTCCTTCCTCTGCTCTCTGGTAAATGAATTAATTAAACGAAGGAAAACTCTAGGAAAGTTGGTCCGACCAGCATACGTAGCCTTTGCGTTGTTCTCCTTCGCTATAACAACTCAAGTTTGCAAGCACTAAACAATCCCATAGTGCCACCTACTGACATTCTTTGGGGACAGCAGTTAATTTTCATGAGGCAAATTTTAGGTGGGTTACATAAATAATTTTAATTAATTAATTAATTAAGATATATCTAATATATACAAGTAGCTCAAATGACTGACATTTTACTCTACCCTGTAAAACTTTGTGACATGTGTATGTATCTTTGCAGATAGCGTAACTAGACTGCTGACAAGATCAGACAAGCCTCAGGACAGGTAATCAGTCGCTGCACTGTGCTTCACAGCTCACCAAGGCTGCCTGCATAATTTATTTTATTTTTTCCCAACACATTTTAAACCAAATCTTTGGATCCATTTCACACTTTTGAAATAGATAGCAAACAATAAATACATAAATCATTCAATTAAGTCAGTCAGAAAGAAAAGAAGCTGTATTAGGTGTGTCAGTACACACACACACACACACACACACACAAATAAAACACTACATAAGTTTTTCAAATGCTGTCAAATTATCTTGACATTTCCTGCAGCTTCTGTACGACATTGGTGGCTTTTGAAGCTGTTTTCATACAATCAGTATAAGAGGCCATTGCTTCCCTGTCGGGTGGAGTCAGAGGCAGTTCTAGCTGAACAGACTAAACGGCCGGGATCATATGGTATTCTGAATTTTTTCTAATTCAAAGCCAGCATGGGTGATGATTGGGCTCAAAGTGTACAGTCATGGTAAAAAAACAAAACCAGTATGCTCTTATTCACATCTCAGATTTCAAATATCATTCTGAAAACTGTCTCGTCATTACCAGGTCTTACAAAAAAAAATCAGCAACAAATCCATGAAATATCCTACCTCGTCATTATCAGCTTAACTAAAACTAAACTGAAACAAAAGCAATGTGTGGAAAAACTACAAGGCCGATCCAATACAGCAAATCTGGATAATAAGTCCATTCTCTGATCCTGTGAGTATTTCCCTGTAGGCAGTGCAGAGCTTGGACAGAGCTGAGAGGACTTCCAGTCCTACGTGACTCTATATTCTGCACATCTAGATTATGCCTACTCTGATAAAAACCAGCAGCCCTGAGTAGCGTTGCAGGCCTGGCATCTTACCAGCCACACCCACTGCGGCAGCTCCCGTCTTGATCGGTGCATCTAATTAAAAATTACACAATAATCAAATCACTTGAATTGCACTTGTCTAACTCTATTTTGTTCTGCTATTTAACAGGGGGGACATGGAAAAGAGAAGGGTCAAGTCCTATAGGCATGACCCAAAGAGAACTATCAGTGATTATCAGTGGTCATTGTCACTGTGGGCCACTCTTTTTATGATATTGCCGCAGCGCACAGCTTGGTTTATGCACAGCTTTCTTCAGGTCACAGAGTTTCAATGAGATTGAGGTCTGGACTTGAGTGTAACATTCACATGCGCTATTTATGTAACGCATTTGTGTATATGCACTATTAGTGAACGAGGGCCATTGATTTAAAGGTCTTGTGTTTTTTGTGTAGCTCTAAGCTAAGGCTGTCATTTGGAAAAGCCTTCCAAATAAGCTGCTTCAATCTTTTACTAATTAAATTTGTGGTATGAATGTGTAACATGCTTAATGAGGCCCTAGAATTAAAATGTAGCTATTTGAATTTTTGCACTTTCTCTGAGACAAGATCTGAAATCAAGCGCAATTTCTTGATTCTTTTTAAGTTATTTTTTTATACTGAATAATGGCATTGAGTCATATGTATCTTATGTCATGCTGTATTGTTCATCTGATTTACCTATTTTTCCAACTTGCCATATTAACATTATTATGTAGTGGTACACGAAACTGACGGAGGGTGTACTTTCTTTTTACACCGTTCTTGTGTACCTCTCTATCACTCTGTTTGTGGAAGGAGAGGAGAGTGATGGAGGAGAAACCCGTGCTACGCCACCTCACAGACGACCAAAATGAAAATGCTGTGTGTGCTCACACATAGTTTGCAAGAACACCACCAAACTTGAATCCCAGCCTCTCTAGGATATCAACCCCTGCTGCTTCGTGGACATGAGATGAGCCCGCAGTTCCCACCGTCTACCACCGCCACCTGCAATGCTACCACCGAGCCTGGACACGAACACGTAAGGTAGCGCCGCTACAATTAGACACATGAACCAAGGTCTTCATAGTCCTAAGACTATGCTTTCTCCTCACCATCTACTAGCCATCCCGCTTTCACGACTCCTCAGGACAATCTGGCACTGAGTGCTAACAGTGACCTTGGGTCTTTGATTCCAACATTTTGCATTTCTGTTCAGGACTTTCTTTGAAAGTAGGAAATCATTTATGTTTTTCTGAATTAATTATCTTTAGTTCTTTGTTCCTTTTGTCGTTAGTTCCCATTTGTGTCCACTCTGTCCTACTCTCACCTCCGTGTCCTGTCATGAGTCTCTCCACGTTTGTTTACCTTCAGTCTCTCTACTCAAGTCCCCGTTGTCATGTCTCTGTGTTCTCTGTCTTGTCAAATTCCTGTCTTTAGTTCTTGTCTCTGTGTTTATCTCTTCCTGTTACTGTGTCCATTTCTCTGTGTTTTGTCCTTTGGTCCATTAATATTTCTTTGTCAGTCTACTGTGACTCATCTTCCACCAGTGAAATTACAACCTTTACATGCTGGTTTCCTGTATTGTTAAATAATGAATTAAGTTTGTGTGGAACCATCCATAGATAGCTATATATTATGAAATTATCAAATCTATATGTCATAATATTCTGAGTAACATTTATATTTAAAAATTGAATTAATATCGCATTATTCAAACACGACAGCAGCTCTCACTGCCATCTTGTAAACCTTTCCTTTCTCTCTTGCTGCTATCCTTCTGTCACAGATCACCCATAAGACTCGTCTCCATGTCTAACAGGCTAATGCATCAACTGAAAGTTGGAGATGCCCAGTGGCTTCATGTACGATAACCATTTCCACCTGATGTACTTTCAAGTACCTTCTGCTCATCACCTTGCACACTGAACAGCTACTGACAACTCAGGCAAACTGTAAAAATTCATTTATGATCCAGTTTTAAGTGAACAAATACAAAATATTGTTTTTATTCCAGAATTTCTACTTTCAGAATTTCAGATTAGTGAGGCTAGTCTGAAAGTGGCCAAATTCTTCATTGAGATAAATTAGAAAATGTAAAATACAACGATTTACAGGATTGGTACTCAGTAGTAACTGTCATGGAACCATGCTTTTTAACTGCCCCGACCCAAGGTCAGGCACTGATGACAGCGTAGCATTGAGGGAGTTTATTTATAGTGCATGGTGGGGACTTAAACTAACAAAACCCAAACTGGTAGAAACTAACAAAAGAACATAAGGAAAGTAGAAAACATTACAAAAACCGGAATGCCGGGAAGGAGGAGCCTGAGACATAAATACAGAGGATGATACACAGGATGGCATGCAGACAAACGAGCACAGGGCTTAAATACACAGAGGGATAGCAAGGGAATGAGACACAGGAGGAGAGCACAGCTGGGAGTAATCAAACATGATGAGACCAAGGGGAAGCAAAACTGAAAACATGAACATAGGACAAAGTAAAACAGGAAACATAACACAGAGACGCAGACTTGACAAGGGGAGACAGAGCTAACATGGAACACAGACAGAAACCAAAAGACTAGAAATCACCAAAGAACTAGGGAGCTAGAAATACAGCGGTCCCTCGTGTATCGCGGGAGTTACGTTCTAAAAATAACCCGTGATAGGTGTAATCCACGAAGTAGCCAACTTTATTTTTTTACAATTATTATAGATGTTTTAAGGCTGTAAAACCCATCACTACAGACTTTATACACTTTTCTCAGACAGACATGAACATTTTCAAATTTTTCTCTCTTGTTTAAACTGTCAAAGTTCAAACCGTAAAGTTTTTGTAGTCCAGTATTATAGAAACCAAAGGGCCCCACGGTTGCCTTAGCCAGTGCAAAATGATTCGTCAACATTGTTGTTTGTTGGGGAGAAAACTTACAAACATACAGTACAGCACTTCAGAGTCACACTGCTAGCAATCACAGATTCATGTAAATTTGACAACCTGAACGCATCCTGTACTGTACAAGAGACATGGCATGGAGGAGATTGATTGACAATGCTCCACAGCCAATCAGGACGTAGAACACAATGTGCTGTAAAAAACAAACAAACAAACAAAAGCATGCAAAATTGCACAAAAAAAATAAATCCACAAAACAGCGAGGCTGCGAAAGGTGAACCACGTTATAGCGAGTTACCTCTGTACTGCAAACCAAAATCAAGAGACCAGCTGTGAAAACGTATGATGAAATTAGAGATCCATGATAGTACAAAACTCAAAACACTGGTTCGCAGTCCCAGGAAAGTAACAATCTGTGCTCTGCTTGCAGGAATGTTACGACTCTACAGACAGGGACATGCTTAAAGAGACTTGTGTGGATGTTTCAGACATGCATACTGGTGTCATACTCAGAGGTGGGAAGGAGCAAAGTACAAATACTTTGAGAAATACTTTGTTACTGTAATTAAGTAAAATTTTAAAACTTTACATGAGGAGTGCCAGTTGTCTGGATTAAAATCATTTTCATTAATGTTGTGGTGCAAGCCGTAAAGGCACCTTTTTCACAGAAGAAAAAGAAAAAACAGTGTCTTTGTCCATCGCTCTAATAAAGCTAACACAACAAAGTGTGTGGACAGCCCCAGGAAAAGAAGGCTCTGAAAGGTGCTAAGAAACAAACCCGCACTGCAGCACACAAAGCTAAACACCTCTAACCTGTAAGTAATGAAAAGATACGTCCGGGCACCACAGGCTTCCTGTTGACCAGTGCGAAGGACAGCTCAGTCTGCAGGAACACAGCCGAGAGCTTGATGAGATGCTGTCCGAAGCGTAGAGTCGCCATGTGTCACTGACTGCCAGGCCTGGAAGAAATGCAGGTGCAGCAGGTTGTCAGTAACATCACACTAAACAAAGCTTCTGTTCACTGGCTGTATTTATGGTCTGTCCCAGGCAGAGCCCTCTTTTTGTGGGCTCTACCAGAGTCTGGTTTCTAACTGAACGGCAATTTTCCAGCTGTAATTTTCTCACATTTTGTTTGGTTCTATTTTGTGTGTTGATTTGTAGGTATTTGAGTATTTGTTGATTAATGATAAGCAGTGTTGGGACTAACGCGTTATTAAGTAACGCGTTACAGTAACTACGTTATTATTGTGGTAACGAGCACGGTAACTAGTTATTATGCCAAAATCAGGAACGCGTTATCGTTACTGGGATTTAGATAGGGTCGTTACTCGTTACTTCGTGTGGTGGCATCGCGGAGCTTCCACAGATTCAGTAACATTAGCAAGTGGTGGAGGCCAGCAGGTGGATGAAGGAAAAGGGACGCAGAAGGAAAAGAGACCCGAGGCGGCCGCCGGTCCAAGTGTGAACTGAACTTCAGGTAAGAAGTTATGACCTGCAGTCTCTCTGGGTCAGATATGAACCAAGTTTAGGTGGAGTTTATTTTCGTTATGTCTGACTTTTTCCGTACTGCGTGCTAGCTAGCATGACGGAGTTTCTATACAGCTGGGTGGTGCTATGAAGTTAATGATGTTGAACTTTATTTTGTTCATAAGTTATTAGAGTTGCCAACCGTCCCGTCTGGTATTCAGAGAAAATATTACGCGTTTCTTATTGAGGTGAAAAGGAACAGTTTGTCCCGTAATTCAGCTACAATGAAAAAGACACAAAGCTGGAGTTATTCTGTGTCTTTGCTGCACAGCTGCCTCTTCTTCTCTCATTCCCCCCTCCCTCTCCCGTTTCTACTTCAATCATGAAACTGATCAATGATCAGCTGATCGGCTCTCTTGTTTGTTTACTCACTTTGCGCCAGAAAGAGGAAACCAGCGGATGTCGCGCTAAACAACAGCAGCACGTTTAAGCTTGATCAGCTGTTGTTAGAATTTATTTAATATTAATTTCTAGTATCAGCTGATGTTTGCTGGAGCCACAGCTGTAAAGCTGCTGGTCATGATAGTCGGTTTGGTATATCTGGTGAGAGGGAAACATGAAGATGAAACCAGGAGATGTCCTTACTGATCATCAGAGCTGTGATGGAGAAACAGGTTTACCTTTTAGGTGACATGAATGAGTTGAAGGGAAGTTATGAACTGTTTCTGAGAGACAAATAACCCCAGGATCCTTTTTTAGGTAGCTGACAGCTGGTAACTGTGCAGGGGCGGGTCTAGCAAAGTGTTGCCAGGGGGCCAGGTAGGGCATTAACAGGGAGAGGGGGCACAAAGAAATACTTTTCTTTCTTATTCTCATTTAAAATGTCTCAGCTTTTAAAAAAATAATTATCTGAATCTTACAACAAACGATTGATAGATTGATGCATATATACCATCAGAACAGTGTAACATCACTGTCACAACAGTGTTTATTTTCATTCAAAGGCTTTATGATTTTTCCTATAATGGTGGGCCGAGTCTCTAGTCAAAATGTCCCGGGCCAATTTTTGTCCCAGTCCAGCCCTGTATGCAGCTCATCTGCAGTCTGGTGTTACCTACATCTTCCTATTCAGAAGGCAGAATTTCCGAGTTCTGAGTACAATCGAAAGCACCACGACTGCAGTTTTTGTGTTGGATGTAAAAGGCGCACATGACTCTGTGACGTAGGCTAGAATCATGGCAGCAGTCAATGACGGTCCAGGCGTGGGATTTCTCTCGTGGAAATATGCACATTATCTTTTCCTTTCTATTGGTAGGTGGCACAGTGCACTTGTGGCAAGTAAGCAAGCTAGAAGACTGGCAAAGTTATGGAAGAAACACATTAACAAGAGAATTCTGAGTAAAACCAAAGTTACTTTCCCTAGTAACTAGTTACTTTGAAAGTAATGAGTAACTTGAAGTAACTGAGTTACTTTTGAGAGAAGTAACTAGTAATGTAACTAAGTTACTATTTTAAAGTAACTTACCCAACACTGATGATAAGTGGGATGTACTGTGGCATAAGATTTACCGCTAAGTTTAACTTTGTTTGCTCCAGATGTGGTAGTTGTGTAGTTGTGGTAGTGTACAAACACAGGGCCAAACCTCGGCTTAGCTATTCTCTGAGTGCACGTTCAGAGCTGAGCTCCATATATTTCTGGTCCTCATTAATACTGCTAGTCTGATAAAACAGAGCTGAACTTAACTGAAGTTAAAGTGGAGAATTGTAGGCAGTGAAAGATACGTCTTTTTATTGTTTATTACAAACAGCCAGAATAGGTTTCATGGTGACTCATGTTCTTTTTTGAACAAAGCACACACATAAAGCCACTTTCTTTTTATGCTGTCTAATATTGTTACATACCAGTGAAAATGTCCATTAATATACTGATATTAACTCGGAGACATGCATAATGTGTTCAATCAATTTCTGAATCCCACAATATGTAATAATGACTTAAATATGCTGGGCTGGAGCAGCCTGATGTGTACGTTTAAGGTGGCACATGCATTCCTTAATGCATGTGTGGTTCAGGATCTGACAGTAAGTATATGTTCTGCAACATGATTTATCTGATTTACGAATAAATTCTTTACAAATCCTGCCATGTGAATTCATTCAATTCAGTCCCCTACATCATACTCGGCACAAATAGGAAAAAAGGTCGTGAAAAGAGAATCTTATTTAGATTCAATTTTCTGATTGGAGATAAGTGAACAATATATCTGTCAGGCACACTTATCACATCTTCAGACCAAAATTACATGTTGACAAAAGGATAAGTAGATCGCTAATGGAGTAAGTGGTAATACAAGGACTAGAATAGAATAGAAATATCCTTTATTGTCCCTCACTGGGGAAATTCAGGTGTTCCGGCAGTAAAGTGACAGGCAGATGGAGCATGCAAAAGAAGTGAAGAATATTAAATTAAAAACAAGAAGTAAGAGACTGTACAGTTATTAAAAATAGCAATAATCAGATAATTTTTTCAATGTAATAAATGTGCTGTATATTTGTGCTTAAAACAACAACAACATACTTTTAAAGAAAGTGGAAAAACTGTGCAAATGCCAGCAGGGATGTAAACGATTTATTGTGTTTGTTGTGAGCAGTGATGGCTACAAAGTCTAACGGCTGCTGGGAGGAAGGACCTGCGATAACGAATATCTAGTCCTTGTGAAATTCTCTCAACTCATAATGATAGTCAAACCAAGACAGTTAGATGGAAATCATTGCAATGCTCTCTTATTTAGCCAAGAAAGGGTTATGCTGTCTTTATCATCCATGTATATAACCAGTGTTGGGAAGGTTACTTTTAAAATGTATTCCACTACAGATTACAGATTACATGC